TCGTTGGTCGATCCAGCATTGAGCACCCACAAAAGTTTATAGCAAAAATACACAAACAGACCGATCCTCTATTATGCAGTGCTTGGGATTTTACCTATTTTCTTGCCAAAGCAAAGTTTCGACAGCTCTGAGGGGTCTTGACAAAATGTAAAATCAGCGCAAAAAGAGCTTTTCATGGTTTTTTTTCTTGATTTTGTGTAAAATTTTAAGGAAGGAAAATTTTCGGAGAACGGTGGATGCGGCTATGTGCTGAAACCGTCAATAATGCGAGAGGGGCTTTATTCATTTGGTGACAAAGTACCGTTCCCGCCTCAGGTCAATTCTCTGTTTATTTCTGAATTGCTATTTGACATATCTGAAGTAGGAAGTGTTCAGTCTTCGGCGAATTGTGCGTTAATTTATTCACACACTGAGATCGCTCGAATAATTGGTATGGATTTCCTAAGTTAGTGATGTTACTAGAATGCTTCCACATGTCAGGGTGCAATTATGCCGGGCTCCTTGATCAGGGTTTGCATGACGATACTACTATGCAATATTTAACTGATAAAATCATCCAAGTCCCCCTGCCCTTTATAATGATATATTTCCATTTATGTTAGTGTCTTAAAATGTTTGCGGCCAAGCGTTAAGGTAGAAATTTTGTGATAAAAGCTTTTTTTTTTGATGAGCTGCTTTATTTTACTGAATACTTGCTTCGTAAATCCGAATATTTGTCCACCAAAGCATGACCTTTCATTTTTTGAGTGAAATCTTTGCATATTTAATGGAATACACTTTTCCTAGCTGACAAGAAACAGAAATCTTGCAAAACAGCTATGTGCTAGTACCAATGGCAAATTGGTACTAGCATATAGCTGTTTTGCAAGATTTCTGTTTCTTGTCACGATCGTCTTTTTTCAGATACTTCATTTGCGTATTTTGTCCGGACAGCAACTACCTCGGCCAAGAGGATCAACAGCAAAAGGAGATTCTGCCGATCCTTATGTCATTGTGGAAGTTTTTGGTATTCCAAGTGATTGCGCAGAAGAAAGAACAAAGACTGTAAAAAATGATAGTGAGTATTTTGAAACAAGTGAATGAAACAAGTGAATGAGGACTAGCTAAATGCTAAATAATTCCGCAGTACAGATAGTTTGGCTTCTGCCGACTTCGATGCTTAATTTTTGCATCTACCAAAAGCCAACGGACGTGCAGTCTCCTGCTGAACAAGGTAGATGTAGCTGCCAACTTCTTTCAAATCAGCACCGCCTGTCTCTGGTCTGTCGTTGAGTATACTGACAACATCGTTTCGATGCGTTTATTTTCCGGCTGACTTCCTCAGCTCGCTCGCTCAGTTCTCTTTCACCATTTGGGATATTTCATGAAGTTGTTCCTATTGAGAGCTAAGTTGTCTGTGAGGTATAAACGGTTTAAAGTTGGCTTGACGTTCAACTACCTTTCCAGCGCAGTTAACAGCACACATTCTCAAGCTAAGTTTTGAAAATCATTTAAAAATATTGCTAGTTTTCAACTAAAACCGGCATTTCAATATTTTTTTCACTGGCCAGGGGGAAAAGGTGAAGCACCGTATAGACATTACCTGTAGTGCCATAATTCTTGAATTAAAGCCTAGGAATTTGTTGGCAAGAAATTTTGTTCTCTCCCCTTGAAATTGGATTTTGTCCGAAGTCTACAGATTTTCGACAGCCTTGCAACACAAACTTTACCACTGGCAACACAATATTTTTCAGGCACAAATCCGTCGTTCGATGAGTCGTTTCAGTTTGAGATCACAATCCCGGAAATGGCACTGATTCGATTTTTGGTGCTTGATGATGACTTCATTGACGACGACTTCATTGGCCAGTATACCATCCCATTCGAGTGCTTGCAGAGTGGTCAGTTTTTGGTTGAAAATAACTGCTCTGAGGCATGGGGACATAAATATGCACTGGCATAAGCATGTTTTTTTCCTGGCAACAAAATCCACTTATTTGACTTGGTGGCGGCTTTCATACTTTTGCTCCTCCTGTGAAGGAAGGGAGTTGTTTGCTGACTGAATGTACTTTTTTCAGCCGTAAAAAATATGTTCTGAAGAATTCCCAGCCTGATGAGCCCAAACTAAGGCTTTTTGCAAGCTTCGTTTATACTCGGATTGGGAGGATGCGTATGGGAAGTTATCCAAATCCCATCAAAAAGAAATTGAAAAGCAATGCTAAAAAAATTATGTTAGCCTTCACGTGGTAATCTGAATTTCAACATTCTGCTCAAAGATTTCTCTCTTTGTGAAGCAGTATTTTCCGATGGGAATCTTTGGCCTCCCAAGTCTGGATTAGATTAACTCGTGAGGCTTTTGGCGTATGAGGTGGGATTAAAATTTTATAAAAATTGGATTTTTCTTATCACATCCACGTAAATATTTGTCTTCCGGATTGGCTATTCAGGGTTCAGAAAACAGCGATGCCATACACTGGTGACTAGCGACCAAATCCAATTTCCATCTCTTGCTTCCCCTCCCCTTCACTCCCTTGGCTCCCTCCCCCAGTTATTTTTTAAGCACATCCTCGTGGCTGGGAAGATTTATGCAAATCACATAATTCGCCTATAAAAGCGAGCATATGTTGCGCTATCAGCTGGCTCTTCGAAACTCACCGACTTATTTTTTGGTTTAGATTTTTCATAATAATGATTAGTATCTATGTTTTAGGATACCGTCATGTCCCTCTCCTGAATAGTGAAGGCGATGTTCTGGAAAACTGCAGTCTGTTCATTTATGTTGCTGTGACGAATCGTTGCGGAGGAGGGGTAATTTTAATCTTTATGCATTTTTGCTGGGATCAAGAACTTATTTTTGGCGAGATCATGGCATGTATAGGCAAAAATTTGTCTGCTCATGTATTTTTACAAATGAATACAAAGCTGGGTGCAGAAATTATAGGGACAAGAAATATCAATAATTATTATTCAGGGATATTATTATTGCTATTATTATTGTTATTATTATTGTTATTGCTAACATTATTACTATCATTATTATTATCATTATTATTATGTTTAGGGGTGGCTCTATGGGAAGTAAAAATCAAATAATTGCAAAGGGTAGTAAAAAGAAAGTATTAATTAAATATACAAATAATTCACACGGTAAATTATCGTAAAAAGAGTGTCGTACAGCAAAAGAAAGATTATTTTAGGCAACAAAACGCTACGAATCGACTTTTAAGTCGTCTCTCATTCTATATTCATGATTTTGCCAAAACCAAATAATAAATAATGCTAAGAATTCAAAAATCTTGATTCATTGCCTAGTGCAAATTAAATAGCCTGAAATTTGCCCACAAATTTTACCTTATCATGTCGTCTCAGGCCTAAATTTGAACTAGATCCCCAATTTTAGAATCGATCGAGCTAGTGTCTAAAAATTTCTGAGTTTCGGTCAAATAAACAAGAGCCTTTGAGGTGCTAGGAAATTGGCTTTCAGGCCACACTTTTAACTTAATTTGTGGCTGCAGTTGCAAATAAAGATTAAAACTGCAGAGCAGAGTAAGCCAAAAATCTAAAATTTTGAAATTTTCTTGCAGTGTCTTTCGAAGAAGCTTCATAATGATTCACCGTTTCTTTTGTACCTACCGAACTACTGTGTGCCTGTGAATTTTTATGCGTTTTTGCTATAGCAGCGAGCAAAAATTTCAGTAGAGAAGTAGCCTGTGTGTGTGTTTTCGGAAACGAGTCAACTTTGTCACCCGCTTTCATTTCAGTAGTCGGGAAAACTGGGAGGCTGAATTTTGGGTATACGTTGCTACCTCATGTATCATCCTCCCGTCATTTTGCAGCACAGAAACGAACAATAAAATGTGCTACAGCAAAACTACGCATTGCTTTTGATCTGGAATCTGAAACAAATCAAAATTTTTGCCAGTGGATGAGTTGCTAGTGTTCCTAGAATTGTCCTAATGATTGGACGTAGAGTTGTTCTATGATCCTTCCAGTAAAATTTGGGATGGTGAGAACATTTTCCATGTTCTGAACAGCTTTCCACAGCACTGACGTGTGCAGTCAATTAGGCAAGAAACAAAACCCACAACTTGCTAGTTGGACAATAAGCTAATTTTCCAGTCTTCTTGCTCAGCGACATTCTCGCAAAACATCCAATTCCAATCGCTTTTACTGCTGTAAATTTCATTCGCCCGCGCTTGCATCTTCCAAGAAATCCTTCAGTTTTATTCTGTGCAACAACCGCACAAAACGACTATTATCACGAGTTTGTCTGTTTGTTGGAGTGTATATATGTATGTGTGTGTCCGATGCATTTTGTCCGCAGCTTCTAACTCGGGAGCCACAAAAACTAGGGGACTGAAATTTTAGAGTAATGTTCCCCACCCACTTGTGACTCCGCAAGTTAAATTTCAGCCTTCCTTTACTCTGAGTACTACGTAGGACTGTGTGAAAACTTTGGCGGGGGAAATTATTATCTCAAAAACTATGAAAGCTAGGGAGCTGAACTAGCTCTGCCCACTTCTGACCTCGCAAAATGTATTTCAGCTTCCCCGTGCGCCTGAGTACTGTGTTGGACCTCGTAAAAATGTGGGGAGGAAAACTGCTATCTCGGGGACCGCAAAATTTGAGAATCTGAAATTTTAGTTTGTCCTTCGCACAAGTACGACATCGCAAATTTAAATTCAACTTTAACGTACCCCTGAGCACCAGTTGTGGCCCTGTGAAAATTTTGGTGGAGTAATTACTACTTAGTGAAACACAAAAGCTAGGAAGCCGAAATTCTGCGGTAATGTTCTTTGCTCAAGTGCAACCCTGCAATTTTAAATTCAACTTTTCCCTACCTCTGGGCATCACGTATTATTCGGTGAAAGCATTGGCGAGGAGAATTATTGTCTCGGGAACCATGAAAGATGGGAGGCTGAAATTTTTGGGTACTTTCCCCTGCGCACATACAACCCCAGAAGTCCGAATTCGACATACACGTACGCCTGGATCTCAACGTCTCCGTGAAGGCTTGGCCGAAAAATTACTGTCTCGGGAGTCAGAAGAGCTAGGAAGCTGAAAATTTCAGGAAAATGTTTTCTGCCTATGCAGAGGCTTCACAAACTCAAATTTAGTTCCCACTTATGCCGATATCTCAAGCACAACCAAGTAGAAGTTTTGGCGCGAAAATCACTCGAAAGCCACAAAATTAGAAGGTTAAAACTTTGCAGGGATGTTCACCTTTCAGGGTTTCAAATTCAGTTTTCACTTGCCGGTACGTGAAATATTTAGTGGGAAATATTTCA